TATGACTATAAATTACAAAGAAGTTATTTCTCTGCATTAGTAGAAGAAATTCTTCACTGGAAGTTCTCTAGACAAAAGAAATCACAGGTCAGATTGAAAAATGGACAATGAAAACAGTGAAAACAATGAAATACCTTCCACAGGACTAGACCAGACTTCAAACCTAAGTTTTTATCATCTTGATTCCTGTCTGGTATTCTTTGAGGTCTTTTGGTTGTCTTCAAACAAAAATTTTAAATTTGTGTCTAATTTATATTTTTTAAAAATTACTTTGATTTATCAACAATCACTTCCATATGCTTTTGAGTTTTAAATGTTTCTCCCCATTCTTCCCACCTCCCTCCTCAAGATAGTGCATAATCTGATGTAGTCTATACATATACATACCTTTTAAACATATTTTCACATTAGTCATGTCGTAAGGAAGAATTAGAATCAATAGAAGAAACCACAAGAAAGAGGAAACAAAAAAGAAGAAAATAATAGCAAATAGTATGTTTCAATATGCATTCAAACTGCATAGTTCTTTCTTTGGATGTGCATAGCATTTTCCATCATGAAGCCTTTGGAGATGTCTTAGATCCTTGTATTGCTGAGAAGGGCTAAGTCTATCAATATTAGTCATTGCACAATGTGGCTGTTACTGTGTACAACATTCTCCTGATTCTGATCACTTCACTCAGCATCAGTCCATTTAAGTCTTCCCAGGTTTTTTCTGAAGTCTGCCTGCTCATCATTTCTTACAGCACAATAGTATTCCATTACATTCATATACTACAACTTGTTCAGCCATTCCCCAATTGATGGGCATCCCCTCAATTTCCAAATCTCTGCCACCACAAAAAGAACTGCAAGGTCCTGTGTAATCCTGACTGTAGTTCCATGATATTTAAATGTTTTTTTTTTTTTCTGGCTGCTTGCAGTATTTTCTCTTTGACCTGGTAATTTTGGAATTTGGCTATTATATTCTTTGGCGTTTTCAATTCGGGATCTCTTTCAGAAGGTGAGCAGTGGATTCTTTCCATGGCTATTTTACCTTCTGATTCTAGGACTTCAAGGCAGTTTTCCTTTATGATTTCCTGAAAGATACTATCCAGGCTCTTGTTTTCATTGTGATTTTCAGGTAGACCAATAATTTTTGTTTGTTCGTTTGTTTGTTTTATCAGGCAATTGGGGTTAAGTGACTTGCCCAGGGTCACACAGCTAGTAAGTGTGTCAACTGTTTGGTCTGAGGCTGGATTTGAACTCAGGTCCTCCTGACTTCAGGGCCAGTGCTCTATCCACTGCACCACCTAGCTACCCCTAAACCAATAATTTTTAAATTGTCTCTCCTGGATTGATTTTCCAGGTCAGTTTTACCAATGAGGTATTTTACATTTTCATCTATTTTTTCATTTTTTTGTTTCTGTTTGACTGATTCTCGCTCTCTCACAGAGTCATTAGTTTCCATTTGTCCGATTCTAAGTTTTAACAGATTGTTTTCTTCTATTAGATTTTGTACTTCCTTCCCCAATTGTCCAATTGTATTTTAAGGGATTTGTTTTCTTCAGTATACTTTTTTTCCAGTTGGCCAATTGTGTTTTTTAGGGACTTGTTTTCTTCAGTGTACTTTTTTTCCAATTGGCCAATTGTATTTTTAAGGACTCTTCTATCTCTCTCATTCGACTTTTAAAATCCTTCTTGAGCTCTTCTAAGAAGACCTTTTGGGCTTCAGACCAGTTCATATTCCCTTTTGAGGCTGCAGATGTGAGTTTGTTGACAATGTTGTCCTCTTCAGAAATTTCTGTCTTGATCTTCACTCTTCTCATAATATGAATCTATGGTACGTTTCTTTTTAGTCATGGTATTTCTTTATTCCCTGGCCTTTAAAGAGATTGAGCTCTCCTGTTGGGGAGCAGAGGGTACTGACCTAAGCTTCTTGTGTTGGGAGCCTAGGTGTTGGTCACTGGCTTTGTGTGCTGGGGCCTCTTATGTTGGCAGTTGGAGGCTGTAGGTTTCTGGCAGCTTACCTGGTGTTGGTCTGGAATCAGCAAGGCTGGAACATTCCGGCAACTCTGGGTTGCTTTCTTCAGCTCCTTTCAGATGACTGTTGCAGGGTGTTTATCCACCTGGGGCCCTTGGACTGAACTTTAAAATGAATATGTTAGAAGTAGCATCATCTCAGAAATCCTAAAATTCTGAAAGCATGCTTTAAGTCTGCATAGCAACTTTCAGTTGGAACACAGGTTCCAACCCCATTTTTCAAATTCGAGAAAATCTTTGAAATCACTTAAATCAGTATTCCATTTAAATGTTGCAAAATGGATTGGTTCTGACCTCAAACAGCATTACTACACATATGCAGACAGATAGACAGACAGACACAAACACACACAGACACACACACAATGATTATAAAGGTCTTTTGAATATAAAGCTTTCTTGTATAAATCCCAGTGTCAACCTGGATAGCACATGTCAGAAAATGGAAAACTCTGACATACTCTTCTGAAAAGAAACAAATAGTCATTTGGACCTACTAATAATCTTATATCCTCCTGAGCTTTGCAAAATGCCTTACATTTTCTTGGTGAAGGAATTTACCTGATTCATCTTTGTCAAAGTTAGGAGGCCTCAACCATAATATCTACAATTTATATCAATGTTTATATGAGATGGCCAAGGGCAATAGGAGATTCTTTTACACCATCAAAACAACCACATCTGATACAAAAAACTGATATTTATTGCAACATAACTTCTAGAAAAACCCAAGTAACTATATAAACTGGGAAAAATTATGCCATAAAGGAATTGATTAAGGTCAAGCTTGATAAGATGCTGTCATGAAAGATTAAATTGAGTGAACAAGATTAATGCTACTAAATTTGTATTTACATAACTTCCATATTAAAGTATTCTTAAAACTATATATATACTTTACAACCTTCATGTGGAAATATAAGAAAGTCAATTATAGTAAATATTGAGGGATTTCACTACTCTTTTAAGACTGCCAGACCCATCAACAACCATAATCAGTATTTACTACATATAGTACACTATACTAGGTATTATAGATGATAAAACCTTCTAGGAAGCATTAAACTTGTTTTGTTGGCCATATAAAGCATAACTAGGAATGAGGTCGGGAGGAAGGGAAGATTTAATAGAAGCAAATTTCATTTCAACATTAATAAAAAGTTCCAAATGATTAAAGCTGTCTAAAAGTGGAAAGAATGGGATGCCTTAGGAAATTCTTTATCACTCATGATACAGCCTTCAAAGAGAGACTGGATAACCACTTGTCAGGGATATTCAATTAGTTAAGAAATGGAATAGGACTTTAAGATCATTCATTCCAACCTTCATTATTTAGACTCAGAAATTGACATCTCCTTACCCACATACTCTGCAATCCAGGGACATTGGCCTCCTTGTTATTCCCAGAACTTGACACTCCACCTCCCTATTCTGCATTTTCACTGGCCATTCTTTATGTTTGGAATTGTTTCCCTCCTCATCTCTGTCTCCTGGTTTTCTGGGCTTCCTTGAAGTCCCATCTTCTTAAAAAATCCTCTCCTGATTTCCCTAAATGCTAGTGTCTTCCCTCTGTTGATTATCTCCAATTCATTCTATATTTATGTTGTTTGTATGTAGCTATTTGCATGGTGCCTTCCCCATTAGATTGTGAGCTCCTTGAGAGCAGGAACTGCTTTTTGCCTTTTCTTCTTATCCTTAGGTTTTAAATGCAGTGACTTGTTTGACTTCACTAATGATAATAATGGAAAAAAAAATAAGGAAAGAAAAGATTACCAATGAAATATTTAAAAACAAAAAGAAGAAAGAAAACCTAAGAAGAAAGTTCAGAAGGGGACAAAGGCAAATAGGGAAGTTTTGCTAGTACTATGTTAAATTTCCAACCATACTTAAAGTATAATAGGCCCAACCTGAGAAGCCTGCAGAACATGCCTCCTTTAGCTCCTAACCTAGCTGACTGGTTGCTATGGTTATGTTGGAGGCAGAGAGGAGTAGCATTTCATAGCCTTTTAATTTTGAGTGTGTATTTTTAAATTGTATTAAAGTTATTTTTATTATCTTTTATGGCCTATAAGTAGTTCTGTGCAAATTAGCCATTGAGTCTGAATCACAGGCCTGGTCTAGGTCAGGTCTGCCCTAAAATAGACAGAAGTAATGACCTCCTTAGCAATATATTCTAACAATACAGAAAATGGACCTAATTATTTGTCTTATAGTAAGAGATCAACATATATTTGTTGATGTTCATCACAGTTAAAGTTAGAAACTGATTAGAAACTACAGAGATGCGCAAAAAAGGGCGAAAATGTATTGCCTTAGCTACCATTCTTACAGCATGAAAATTATGTTATCCTTTTACCTTTAAATAATAGAAGTTCAAAAATTGGAAATAAGGGGCATCATGACACAGGGTGCACTCTCATAATTCCATTATCTTTTCTCACCAAAAATCCCAGTCAGGTTTCAGGTTATCTTCCTCTTTCCTTACATGGCAAAGGTCCCAAACTGAAGGTCCCCTGTGGTTAGAAACTACAGGGTTTTCTTCACCTTTTTGCTTCTCTTTTGAAGCAAACTCTTCTGAGTATGTTGTTCTTCAGTCGTTTTTAGTTGTATTTCAGTTATGTGACTCCATTTTGGGGTTTTCTTGGATAAATACTAGATTAGTTTGCCCTTTTCTTCTCAAAGTCATTTTATAGATGAGGAAACTGAGGCAAACAGGGTTAAGTGACTTGCCCAGGGTCACACAGCTAGTAAGTATCTGAGGATGGATTAATTCAGGAAGAGGAGTCTGGCACTCTATCCAGGCCTGGTGCTCTATACAGTCCATGGGGTCACAAAAAGTCAGATATGACTGAATGAATGAATAATAAAATTAACTTTTCAACTGATGTGATTTCAAAATATAGTAAAATAATCCTAATTGAAATAAATAAGAAAAAAAAAGAAGAGAAAGCTGTATTTCCATAAAGTTATCTACTTACCTGACTTATTTTTCTTTGTTCTTGTAAAGCTTCTTGGATTGCCTGAGATACTTTTTCTTGACCTTTATCATGCTCAGCCTTCCACATTTCCTTCTCTTCAGTGTGAACTTTTTCCAAGTTTTTTCTTTCTTCTTCTACTGCTTTTAAAATAGCATCCTTCATTGTCTCTTTCTCAATCTTTGCAACAATGAAAGAAATAGTATTAAAAACAATTATTATTTGAAGAAGACAGTTACTACATGAGAACATTATCACAGATAGACGCTACTCTTTATTCTTATTAGGTTTATATATAGTGTTGTTTTGTGTACATGCTTTGTAAAACTAAAATTATATTTATAATCATCATTGTAATATCATATCTATATTCACTCCAAAAGTATATTCAATAGAATTCCTGAGGTTTCTAAGATATATCTCCATTAATAAAGACCTCTATCAATGGATTAGGACTCACAAATGATTAGTAGCAGCAGAAAGCAAAAAAAAATCAGTTTGCATGTGTGAGGAGGACAAGGAAAGTGACAACATAAGAATTCTACTCACCACATGCTATAGGATCACATCTAAATTAAACATAAGGTTCTGCACATCTTAATTTCTGAACACCTTAGATTAAATTATTTTTAATCTCAGATGAGAGACCAATAGCCCAGCACAAAATAGGTCACAACGGAAAACTTTTATCAATGATAGCAATTTTTTAAAAAAATATAATTTTACTGATATTACATTGTTTTTATATAATAAAAATATATTTTAGTATTCCTCCTCCTCCAACTCCCAGAGAGCCATGTCATATAATAAATATTTTCTAAGAAAAAAAAATGAGAAAAAAATCAGCAAAACCAATCAATACATACAAAAGCCCTGAAAATAAATGCAACGTACCACATCCACAGACCCTCACCTCTTTAAAGGAGTTAAGGTGTCTCCTATACTCTCTTCTTTGGAGTCATGCTCATTCTTTGTAATTTTGCAACATTTGTTTTTTATTGTTTTGTGTTTGTTGTTCTTTTCATTTACATCATTATAGTCACTGTGAATATTGTTTTCATGACCTCTTTTATGTCAGATAATTTGTCCCATTCTACCATTCCCTTTCCCCTTCTCCCAGTGCGTTCTTTCTCACCCCTTAATTTTATTTTTTTTAATCATCCCATCACATTCAACTCATACCTGTGCCCTCTGTCTATGTATACTCCTTCTAGCTACCCTAATAATAAGAAAGTTTTTTCAGAGTTACAAATACTTTTTCTTATGCAGGAATATAAACAGTTTAACCTTACTGAATTCCCAATGATTTCTTTTTCCTGCTTAACTTTTTATGCTTCTTTTGAGCCTTGTGTTTGAAAGTCAATTTTTTGATTCAGCTCTGATTCTTTCATCAGGAATGCTTGAAAGTCTTCTATCTCATCGAATATTTGTTTCTCCCCTAAAGGATTATACCGTTTTGCTGGGTAGGTGATTCTTGGTTGCAATCTTAGTTCTTTTGCCCTCCAGAATATCTTATTCCAAACCCAAGAGCCTTTAATGTACAAACTGCTAAATTTTGTGTTATCCTAAGTGTGGCTCCACAATATTTGATTTTTTTTCTTTTGGCCACTTAACAATATTTTCTCTTTGACGTGGGAGCTCTGTATTCAGCTATAATATTTCTGGGAGTTTTCATTCTGTGATCTCTTTCAGGAGGTGATTGGTGGATACTTTCAATTTCTATTTTACCCCATGGTTCTAGAATATCAGGGCAGCTTTCCTTGATAATTTCTTGAAAGACAATGTCTAGGCTCTTTTTTTTCGATCATGGCTTTCAGGTAGTCCAATAATTCTTAAATTATCTCTCCTATTCTAGGTCAGTTGTTTTTTCCAATGAGATATTTCACATTGCTTTCTATTTTTTCATTCTTCTGATTTTGTTTTGTTGTTTCTTGATGTCTCATATAGTCATTAGCTTCAACTTGCCCAATTCTTTTTTTTTTTTTTTAGCGAGGTAATCAGGGTTAAGTGACTTGCCTAGGGTCACACAGCTAGTCAGTATCATGTGTCTGAGGTCGGATTTGAACTCAGGTCCTCCTGACTCCAGGGAGAGTGCTCTATCCATTACGCCACCTACCTGTCCTCCAATTCTAATTCTTAAAGAGTTATTTTCTTCACTGAGCTTTTGTACCTCCTTTTCCATTTGTCCAGTTCTACTTTTTGAAGAGTACTTTTCTTCAGTGGATTTTTGTGCCTCTTTTACCATGTGGCCTATTTACAATGTGGTTTTTTGGGGTACTGTTTTCTTCAGCATTTTTGTGTGCCTCCTTTACCAAGCTATTGACTCATTTTTCATGATTTTCTTGCATCATTCTCATTTCTCTTCCCAATTTTTCCTCCACCTCTCTTACTTGATTTTTAAAAAAAATTGGGGGGCAGCTAGGTGGTGCAGTGGGGGGGCAGCTAGATGGTGCAGTGCACAGAGCACTGGCCCTGGATTCAGGAGGAACTGAGTTCAAATCTGGCCTCAGACACATAACACTTACTAGCTGTGTGACTCTGGGCAAGTCACATAACCCCATTGCCTAGCCAAAACAAACAAACAAACAAAAATTTAGAGCTCCTCCATGGCCTGAGACCAATTCATATTTTTCTTTGAGGCTTTGGATGTAGGAGTCTTGACTCTGTTATTTTCTTAATTTGTGTTTTGATATTCTCTGTCACCACAGTAATTTTCTATAGTCAAGATCTTTTTCTGCTGTTTGCTCCTTTTCCAGACTATTTCTTGACTTTTAACTCTGTGCTAAAGTGGGGGTCTGCTTCTAGAGTGGAGGTGGCATTGTCCCAAGCTTCAGGGTTTTTTTTGTAGCTGTTTTCAGAGGTAATTCTGGGCACCTGTAAGTTTTCAGTTCTTCCAAGGTAGTATGATGTGGAGCGGTGTGTTTCCTATTCTCTTGTACTGTGCACTGATCTGTGAGTGACCACAAGCACTCTTTCTATCCTGGAACTATGACCAGGGTCCCCTCTCTCTTGCTGTGGCAATCTCTTGTATACTACTGCTCCTCCTTATCCTGGGACTAAGACTCAGGACTATGACCCAGATCCAAGTATGGACAATGCTTGTTTGCAAATGAAAGTCCTGCCTGGAGCCAGCAAAGGGACCCCTGTAATCTTCTTACCAATTATCTGACCCCTTTGCCATCTGTGGTCCAGAAATCACCACTGCTGCCACTGATTCAGTCACTGATTCAGTCACTCATTCTGGTTGGCTGGGGTCTGGTCTACTAGACTGGGTTCCACTCTCATCCAGGTACAATAGACCTTCCCCACAGACCCTCTAAACTGTCTTGAGCTAGAAAATTGTCTCACTCTCTCCTTCTGTGGGCTCCACTACTCCAGAATTTGTTATAAGGCATTATCTAAAGGCATTTGGAGAGGTCTTGGGGAGAGCCTACATGAGTCCCTGCCCCTTCTCTGTCATCTTGGCTCCCAGATCCACAATGAACTATTAATGACTGTCCTTTTCACTTTGGCTATTCAACTGAATCCATCTAATTCTTAGAATTCTTAAGTTTCCCTTCCAGGTTTATTTTAGGTGCCATATTGCATCCAAAGTCTTTCTTTATAGACTAGTTGTTAGGGTGCTCTTCCTCCTCAACTTATCTCATATTTCCTTCTATGTTTACATGTTATATACCCTAGTAGAAAGTCCTTGATGTAAAGGACATTAAAAAAAATGCCTCTAATTTGTAAGGCACAGGGCCTTGCACAAAGATATGAATTAAAATAAACATAAGAAAGAAATAAGGGGGAAATTCTCTAACATAAAGCTATTAAAACAATAGACAGACAAAATTAATCAATTCACCTTTCTTAAATGTCACTCACTTATAAAGAAAACAATTATTATATATAGCAATACCTTTGCTGCAGTTGCTAATGCATCTTTACTTCTTTGCATTTCTTCCGCCAAATACTTTCCCAATATTTCCTGCAAATCATAAAATGGTCAATAGATATTAGATTTATTATCTGAGGAAATGAGGCCTATTTTTTCAAAACACATAGTACTTGGAATCTTACCTTCTGATCTTGAGACTGTTGAGTCAAAGCTTCTTCTAGTTTTTCTGTTAGCTGTTCCTTCTCTGCATCAAGCATATCCAGAAGCCTCTGATGCTTTAAGGAAAGATAATTAAATTATTGTTATGAATATGATGCAAGTAAGAGAGCTGCTAAACTCCAACAGCCAAGAAACAGCACAATTTCTAGCACACAGTAGGTATTTAATGAATGCTTCTAACTTGACATGTAATGAGGTTGCTGGGTGGGTACTGGGTCTGATGTCAGGAAGATACATGAGTTCAAATCTGGCCTCAGATACTTATTAGCTGTGTAACTCTAGTTTTGTTTGCCTCAGTTTCCTCATCTGTAAAATGGTGATAAAAATAGTTCCCACCTCCCAGGGTGTTTGAAGGAGAAAATGAAATAATAAGTAAAGTGCTTAGCACACAGTAAGTACCATATAAATGTTAGGTAGTATTATTAGTGTTGTTATTATTGATTTAAAATATAGGTATTATAAATTTATATGTTGAAGTTTATCTAAATAGAATTTTAACAGCCAACCTCTTCCACAAAAAACACCACAACTACCACATTAAATGCCTTTCTCAAGTACTTTAATGTGTTTTTCTAAGTTCTTCATCAAACTAAAGTATATGATATGAGACCCCCTGAAAGGGAACAACTCAAAATTGAAATGAGATGAATAAAATGGGGACAGAATAGGAATTTGCTTTTCAAATCAAACTGAGAAAGACAGTAACTGGAATAAATAGAGATTTTTAGCTTACAGCAAAAGAAATGATCAAATGCTGTTGACAAATAAAATACATGAAGGGCAAATATCGTCCTTAAATCACGTATTTTTCATAGTAGAAAATATTGTTGAAGTAAACACTCTTTTAATTATAGTTTCTGCAGCACGATTTTTTTTTTTACCATAGACACATTAAGTTAACCCATAAGAGGCCAAGAGAATACTATGTAGTACCCAGTGCCACTCAGTATTAGAGTACACAGAGCTGGATTATTAGCTTTCATTCCAATGTGCTAGGGAACACAAGGCCACATTACTTCTAGGGAACCTCAGCATTATACCCCAGTCATTGCTTGGCACTTGCTTATTTCAAGAGACTAGGGATAAGATGGGGGTGATATGTCAGATGTGCCATGGGACCCAGGGCTGGACCTGCTGAAGGACAGACAACCTTTCTCCCAACATTATTGTCCCTGAATCAGAGCAAATGTTTGCTGCACTCTCTCTAACTGGATTTTCCCCAGGTACCATAACTGTTATTTAAAGCACTATTTATCTCTATTATTCGCTTGATTCTCTTCTCACTAGTACATCATATGGTTACAGATTTAGAGCTAGAAAGGATCTTGGAAGCCAAACTCCTCATTTTAAGGCTATACAGGTAGTGGGCAACCAAACCAGGTTGCTAAATCATGTTCTTTGAGTTCAGACCCAGTCTTTTCCCCTCTGTACCATGCTCAAATTGTTATGCCATACTCATTCCCTCATTCCCTCCTTCATAGCATGACTTTCTAAGTTCTACTCTAAGAATACTCTTTTACTCATGATTTTCTGCATAGCTAAATTCTATCAGTCAAGGTTCAACTCAGTTCCTACATCCCCAAAGCCTTTCCAAACTAGCCAGCAGTGGTTATTTACATTTCCTTAATTCTTTTCATATTTTTTGTCCAAAACACCCAATTTATCATTTGGTTACATTATGTGCTGCATTCTTCTCTTGCTTCCCCAACTAAATTGTGGTGAACTCTTAAGAGTATGGGATGTTTCTTAAGACTTCTTTGATATACCTCAATGTCCAGCACTGTGCTAGGTATACAATAGAAGTGCAACAAAGGTTTCTTGAATAAGCATTAGATTTAAAGCACATATAACTAGTTCCTACTATTTGAGGGAAATAATTACTGAGTGTAGTTAAGAGAATGGATTTTCCTTGTGTATAATAGGGTAAGCACAATTAATTCAGGCTAAACTACCTTTTTGCATATTCTCTCTCCCATATGAACTTTCTGCTCAGGTCAAACCCATTTATTTATTCACTGTGTTGCCCCTGCTCTGATGTCCTTTGTACTTTTCTACTTTTACAATTCTGTTCAGGTAACTGGAGGAGTGTCATTCTCTCTTGCCTTCGTCTTCCAGGAGTTTGCTGAAATTGAATTTCTTTTATCAAGTCTCTTCTGGCTCTAACATGGATCTGATTTCTCTTTTCTCTGAACTTCTGTATTATTTAATGTCTATATCACTCATTGAGCAATAAATATGTACTGTCATGTGACATATTAAAATATTATTTGCATTTTTATTGTTGATATTTCTTTGCCTTGGGGAAAACAGGGCCTGAGAAGAGTACAATACCTCCAGGGGTGGCATAGTACATAAGGAGCTTGGATAGTCACCAGAGGAAAAAAGCATGTCATTCAGATGTTGGTGCTCTGAAACAAAGTCCTTTGGGTAGAAGCAACATCTTATCCATTCAGATTAGGCTAGTTTTTCTATTAAAAAAGGCAATGAAAGTGCCTTAAAAACTTGGTTAGTTCAACATTTGGAGCCCCAGTGTGGTGGAGAAGGAAAATGCCAACACTAGGACACTCCATATGCAGGCAACCTCCTGGGGTCAGACCTCTATATGCTTCAGCATAGCCCAGGGCAAAAAAAAGTAAATGACAACCCTGTGGGTGCCTAATCAAACAGGCAGCTGCCAGGGCTTTGGGACCCTACCAGCATAGCCCTGGGTAAACAGCTGGGAGCCAGACCCCACATGCTTCAGTGTAGCCTGGAGTTAAAAAAGAAACATCCCACCGGCCTCAGCACACACCAGACACCACAAGTAGGACCTTGTCTCAGAACCAGGTTCACTGTCAGACCCTTACAACCTGCAGCAGCAGCAGTCATCTCCAACCCCCAACCCCTCAGCACAGCACAAGACACAAGGGTCTCTCATGGGCCGCAGGACAACATCAGTGCAGCACTAGGTAAACATCCAGGACCTGTAGCCACTTGCACAAGAAGGCTGAGACAGTGCCCCTTCCACCCGAGGAGCAGAGATCAAATTTAAAAGAAAGGAAAAAGAGCCTCCCCAAAAAAGATGAGCAAAAAACAACCAAAAAAAATCTGACCATAGAGTGTTATTATGGTGACAGGGAAGACCAAGACACAAACTCTGAAGAAGACAACAATGGCAAAACACCTATGGGAAAAGCCCCAGAAAAAAAATGGGAAGTAGCCTCAGACCCAGAAAGAACTTATGGAAGAGCTCAAAAAGGAGCTTAAAAATCATATACAAGAAATAGAAGAAAAACTGGGAAAAGAAATAAGAATGACTCAAGAGAATTATGAACAAGAGAGTAAACATCTTGGAAAAAGAAAATAACTGCTTAAAAAGTAGAATTGGCCAAATGAAAAGGAGATACAAAAATCCAATGAAGAAAACAACTCCTGAAAAAGTACAATTTGCCAAATAGAAAAGAAAGTACAAAAGCTAATTAAGGAAAATATCTCCTTAAAAGTTAGAATTGAGCAAGTAGAAGCTAATGACCCTATAATACAATAAGAATCAATCAAAAAAATTCAAAAGACTGAAAAAAATAGAAGAAAATATAAAATACCTCATGGGGAAAAAAAATGACCTGAAAATAGATCCAGAAGGGATAATATCAGAATCATTGGATTACCTGAAAGCCATAATCAATAGGAGGACCTGGACAGCATGTTTCAGGAAATTATCAAAGAAAACTGCCCTGATATCCTGGAAACAGATGGCAAAACAGGCATTCTAAGAATCCATTGATCACCTCCGGAAAAAGATCCCAAATAAAACTCCAACGAATATTAGAGTCAGATTTCAGAATATCAGGTCAAGGAAAAAAATAGAGCAAGTCGCCAGAAAGAAACAATTCAATACTGGGGAGCCACAATCAGGATTACACAGGACTTAGGAGCAGCAACATTAAAAGACTGGAGGTCATGGAACATGATATTCCAGAAGCTAAGTAGCTAGGGCTACAACCAAGAATCACTTCCCCAGTAAAATTAAGCATAATGCTTCAAAGGAAAAAATGATCATTCAATGAAATAATTATTTCAAGCTTTCATAAGGAGAAGTCCAGAATTAAACAAAATATTTGATCTCCAAAATCAAGACCCAAGAAAAGGGAAAAGAAAACATAAGGGACTCAAAAGAATGTTTACATCCCTACATGAGAAGATGATACTGCAATTCTTAAAAATTGTATCACTAACAGTACAGTTAGAAGAATACATAGACAGAGGGTATGGGCATAAGATGAATCTGAGGGAATGACCTAAAAAACATATGAGGTGAGAAAGAGGAACACACTGGGTACAGAAAGAAGGGAGAGGTAGAATGGGGTAAATTATTTCACATGAAGCAGCATTAAAGACCTATTACAGCGGAGGGGAAAATGGGAGGGGTGGGCGATGAGCGTCACTTGAGTCTTACTCTCATCTAGGTTTGGATATACAGATATCTAGATAAATATGTCTAGGTATCTAGATATAGCAATACACACACACACACACACACACACACACACATATATATACACACACATATATGTACATATTCTTTTTTAAAAATTTATTTACCTATTTTTAGTTTTCAATATTCACTTCAGTAATATTTCAAGTTCCAAATTTTCTCCCCCTCTCTCCTCTCCTCCCACCCCAAGACAGAGTGCAATCTGATATAGAATCTACATACACATTCCGATTAAACATATTTTCACATTAGTCATGTTATAAAGAAGAATTAGAACCAATAGTAGGAACCATAAGAAAGAAGAAACAAAAGAGAAGAAAAAAAAGAGTGAATAGTATGCTTTGAACTGCATTCAGACTCCACAGTTCTTTCTCTGGATCGGATAGCATTTTCCATCATGAGACTTTTGGAGATGTCACAGATCCTTGCACTGCTGAGAAGAGCTAAGTCTATCACAGTTAGTCATTGCACAATGTGGCTGTTACTGTGTACAATGTTCTCCTGGTTCTGCTCACTTCACTCAGCATCAGTTCATACAAGTCTCACCAGGTTTTGCTGAAGTCCACCTGCTTTTCATTTCTA